CTTGAAGGAGGACACCGCAGGAGGTTGCTACATGCTCCTCCATCCTTATTCTCCTTCTTTTTCGACATTTGAGTGCTCTAGATCTAAATCTAGTTTTTCATGGAGGAGAGAGAAAACAAATCTAGGTGTTGATCTGTAGTTATTTCTTCATAATACTGCTTTGCTTATGTCTTTTTTTGTTGCGTTTGCAAGGTTCGTTGGTATGGACATGTCAGAATGGATGTACCGGGCAATGTTCTTCAACGAACGGAGCAAGTTAGCGACAATAGAGAAGTATGAGAACATCAGAAACTGGAGCACCAAGCTACGCGTCCTGGATTACAAGTTGGCAGACCTCTTTGGATTAGGGAAATTAGAGTAGCGGAGATCTTAGTTTCACATGTAAATATATGACATGCATGTAACTTGAATGTTGGCTCATGGTACAATAAGGACGAGACACGAATGAATGTGATATATGTTTATGCTTTGTATGCATATTTCTTCTTTGCCTATGTTTAATTTGCGAAAACAGAATTAGAATTCAAATTCGAATTAAATGGCGGGAAACTATTTTTTAACTGGAAAATCATTAACGGAGATGGGCAAATAATAACTAGCGCCTCGGTTAACAAGTTATCAGAGGCAAGCACCTTATGGCAACCGCCTCGGTTAAACGATTAACGGAGGCAGGTGAGTTAGGGTGACTGCCTCTGTTAATGGACATTAACCGAGGTGGTTGCCTTAAGCGCCCGCCTCCGTTAACCCATTAACCGAGGCGGGCAAAGCAACTGCCTTCGTAGGTCTGCATTAACGGAGGTCTTTGAGTGGAGGCGGTTGCAATGGCCGTCTCCATAAATCAATTTTGGCTGTCTCCATTAAGCTTTGTGTAGTAGTGTAAATTTGTTTAAAACGTGAACACAGATAAATATCTCATTAAACTTTGGATTATTTGGATCGGTGCGATTATAATTTTTCTATATTAGATAAATACCATAACTATAGATTGCGGCTGGTGGTTGGGTAGGCCCCGAAGGAACAGGAGCAAGGGAAAAAATCACATGGTGCAGGATTTGACAAATAAATTTTGTTGGAATAGGCTGTCAGCAGCAGAAAGATAGTAGTAAGGTTGCACCAAATTTTTTACATAATATGTAGTAGAAGAAACACAAGACGACTTTAAGGACCACGAAATTAAACCAAGGCAGTCCTAAGACCATTAATTAGTGGGGAAAAAAACTCAATGGAGTCCTCGAATGAGCCGTAGTAGGCAGACCATCGTTCGTCCCAGTGAATACGATACCGGCTAACAGTCATCCAGTGTGGTTCGTCGTTCGGCTCCATCTCCTCCAGCTCCGGTTCCTCGGGTCCCAGCATCCTCCACGCGCGTCTAATTTCTTCCCGACTTCCATCTCCATCCCTCTTGGCGGCGATTCAGGCTTTGGTTCCTCGCTCTCCCATACCTCGTCCTCGTCCTCGTCCCCAACACAACAAAGACGCGTTCTTTCCTTCATCTTCATCGGCGCTTCAACAGAGATTGCTTCTTCCACTGTCCACTCCCATCTTCATCGGCGCCTCTCCCCCAGATGATCCTCGTCGGTCACGATTTGACCAGGCTCAGTCCGAATAAGCTGACTTCCACTAACATGCGCTACATTGGTTTCATTGACTGGTCCGAAAATTTTGGATTTCGTCCATTTTGATGAGCTCCAAATGTTTTGCGCAAAAGAATTCCAGAACCTTGTTATTGTATGACATGCAGGACATATATATGTAATAATAAAATATTGTAAATTGGAGAACGTCCATTCTTCTCTGCATTGGTAGATAATACAGCAAACAACTCCCAATGTTTACTTACAAGCAAGTTTCAGCACAAATAGCTAGGGTATCAATTCCTAAATTGCAATACACATATCACTGCACTGCATATGCATCTTACAAAAGCATGCACCAAGTATACCATGCATCTTACACAGGTAGTATGGAACACGTGATTGCCCTCACAACTTTCATTCTTCACTTAAGGATTGCATGAAACACGCGACCAAAAAACAGTGACTTCCATTTTACAGAACCCAATGTCAAGCTCACCGATACTTTTACTAGCTTCCAAAGGGTGAAAAATGGTATGTTTTTCCACAACTTTGATGTCACCTTCCAGTGCCTTGACCTGAAATATCACCTCTCCACAATGTTGAGTTGAGATAACATTCCGTGAAAGCTTTATCTTGCCATCACCAGCAATAGGCACTTCCTGACCTCCAGAATCAAGTAAGATGATTCTCTCATGACCAACACCAGCGCTATATTCTGTGGTACTTCTGTCACTGTAACCAGTAGTAGAAGCAGTAAATAGACCACGCAAACCATCTGGCCATGACCCATGAATGACTCTCACAAATATCGTAGCCTCCACAGAGAAAACAATGTGGCCAAGCGAAAACTCCAGTCTGCTAAGCTTGGTAGTGTAGGCACATTTAAACACATGTGAAAGCATGCAAGAGCATGTTAATGGAGAAACTAGAAAGCTCAAGTATCCATCCTCAGACTCAGTAGCACCCTTTACTTTAAGGTCAACCTCGATGATCACAGGATCTGACAATACATCTGAAAACATAACAGCACGGTAGGACATTCCAGTACAAAATATGGATCCTGCATATACAACACCACAATATGAAACCGAAGCAAAGGGGTTAATATTGAGCCGCATAATTAAATCAAATCAAAATAAACAGTGTAAGTCGCAAAATGCAAGCGTTATTAGCATAACGCATTAGTGACAGAGGATAGGGTATTTGTGGTGCACAAACAATCAAGTCCCTAGAGATGTCTTACATGCAAATTACATATTTATATCTGCCAACCCCCTTGCAAACAAAGCTGAAACAGTTTTTTTGGACCAAATTTACGGGAACACCAGAAAACATCAAGCACAACATATCAGCGGCAGGAAATTCATTGGGCAATGGAACTAGGCAGACATATTAGTTGGGAAAAGGTAAAAAATCATGATAGTTGTTAGTTAGGACAACCGTATATTATTACAAACTAAAACAAAGAACCATGCATAAAAAGTGCTTCCAACCTTTTCGGTGAGGGTTTGGCATTCATCTCTGCTGCGCTGGAAGATAATATTGCGATTGTGGTCTACCGGGTCGCGCACACAGCAACCATACCGAAGACATCCAACGGCAGCTGTAAGCTCCCTCTTGTTGCAGCTAGCTTCACCGAGTAGACCTGTAGAGTATCCCTTTGGACGTAAACCTTCTTCAGAGCTTTAGCTTTGTCTGTGAAACGCATGGGAGGGATCCTGGCTGCAAGTAGATGTAAAATATTTGAAATGGGTCAAGATCGAGTACAATAGCAGCCTCAATAATACTGAAATAGCAACAATGACTATCAGAATTTTATATCTATCGAATCTACTGAACATATATAGAATACACAATCCAAGTCCATTGTGCTGAAGTATAATTTGTCAGTAACGACTAGTACAGAATAGAAGAGCAGTAAAATGCTGGAGACCCAGCCATCTATTTCTGATACAATACAAGCCCAAATAATCAAACTATATAGAGAAGCTAAATCCAACGACCAGGTCACACGGCACAAAGCAAAATCACGTGGTGCATAATTTGACAAATTTTGTTGGAAATAAGTTGTCAGCAGAGCAGATATACTATTATCCAGAAAACACAAGACTACTTTTGAAGGACCAGGAAATTAAACAAGGCAGGCGTAAGGCGATTAATTTCTGGAAAAACTCGCTGGTGTCCTCGAATGCACCGTAGTAGCCAGACCACCGTTCGTTCCGGTGAATGCGATACCGGCTAACAGTCATCCAGTGGGGCATGTCGTCCGGTTCCATCTCCGGTTCCTCGGGCCCCAGCATCCTCCACACGTCTACTTGCCCCACTTCCATCTCCATCCTTCTTGGCGGCGATCGAGGCTTTGGTTCCTCGCTCTCCCATACCTCGTCCCCCAAAACAACAAAGACGCGTTCTTTCCCTTCCGTCTTCATCGACGCTTCAACAGAGATTGCTTCTTCTTCTTCTTCCACTTCCGTCTTCATCATCAGCGCCTCAAACTTCGGTGACTTCCCGTGATGATCCTCGTCACCCTGCAGCTGCAGTGCGTCTGCGTCCTCCGATTTTCACCGCAAAATGAGACAAGGGATGATGGATCGCCGGCAACGCTTCCGGCTTGCCGGCCGCTTCCGTTTAGGGCTCGTTCCGTTGTTCGGTTAGCCCAGGGCGGCCGGGAATATATAGGCCCAACAAACATGATCACGGTTCGATTCGGATCCTGGCAAAAGACTGACGTTTCGAGTCAGGCGTGGGCCTCAATTTGAGCCCATCGCACTGGCCAGGTCGGGCGTGGGCCAACAAAAAGGTAACGTTTCTTTTCTCTCGATCTGAGCCCAACCCGGACCCGGACCCAGACCCGGACCCGGACTATATGGTCTTTACTCTTTACTCACCAATAACCCCGTTCTTTCCTTCTCCCCAAGTTCACCCCGTGCGCGCGCGCTCTCTTTCTTTCTTGTGCGGCAACTGCGCGAACGCCGACGCCCGACGGCAGGTGCCCAGGCCTTCGTCGGTCCCTTCGCCAGGCCCTCGTTGCATCCTTCGCCGGAGACGACCCCCCACCACCAGGTATGCGGCACCCTTTCTCTTCCAGTTCTCGCTGTGCGAAACCAGGCGTCCAAACCCTAACTTAATCTATTTCGCTATTTGTATTCGGATCTGATCTAATCACAAGCTTATACTAATCTATACTAACTTCGATTTTCCCCTGAAATTATTGGGATTAAGTGTACACCCGTGTCCTTTGCTGCGACCGCCCGCCCCTGTCCTGTGGTGTTTTTTATTATTATTTTTGGTGTTGTGTAATGGTAATATATAATATGTTTATTTACTGATGAATTTTGTGCGGATTACCTCACTGGGGTTTTGGTATTTAGTTTTCAGGACTGATCTACTCACTAGGGGCGTAGAGGTGAAGAGAACTTGACAATGAGCAGCATAGGCACAGGCTACGATCTGTCTGTCACCACCTTCTCCCCAGATGGTCGTGTCTTCCAGGTCGAGTATGCCACCAAGGCCGTTGACAATAGCGGGTTAGATTCCACTGCCTCCCATTTCCTATTGTGTTTTGCTTCATTTATTATTCCGTTTTCTCTGTTCTATGTAATCTTATTGGTTATTGTCGATGCCATGGTATTTGTGAATAGGACTGTTGTTGGGATCAAGTGCAAAGATGGCATTGTCCTGGTAAGATTTGGCCTTCTCAAAATTTTTCCTTCGGTTCAGTGCTAAAGTTATTTGAGTTGCCCAAGTCTTCACTGGGTCCTGATTTGGTGGTTGGCCCTTTTAGGGTGTTGAGAAGCTGGTAACCTCAAAGATGATGCTGGAAGGGTCAAACCGGAGGATCCATTCTGTGCACCGGCACTCTGGCTTGGTAATGCCTTTACAAGTGACTCAAAATTGATAGTGGTTTTGATGCCAAATCATGTCATTGATGAATAATTAGAGGAGCAGGATTAAAATTCTGCTTTGGTCTTCTAACCTGTATTGAATATAGGAGCAAGATAGTAAAAGCATGCTCTAATACCTGTTTTCCTAAATAATCAATTGTTGATGTAAATTACTAGTAAAGATGTTGTACCTATTAAGATTTTTTTCTTTTGAATTTTCTTGTGGTGATACCTTTTCTTTTATTGCAAAGGTTCATGTTCCATTAGCCATTTTTTGTATGTATCATGTGTGTTTTCACAAATTCCTTGTATTGTCATTTGCAGGCTGTTGCTGGTTTAGCTGCAGATGGCAGGCAAATCGTTTCAAGGACCAAATCAGAAGCTGCCAGTTATGAAAAGTAAGCACCTAGTATTTTAGACCATGTGATGTGAGATCTTTTTATATGATTATGTTCTAAAGTTTTAATGGACTAGGGTCTATGGAGAAGCCATTTCTGTGAAGGAATTGGCAGATCGTGTGGCAAGTTATGTTCACCTTTGCACGTTGTACTGGTGGCTCAGGTAATATATTCAACAGTAGTGGTCCGTAATTACTTGAGGCATGACTTGTATTCACCAAACATTATTTTGGCTACTGTAGTCAACCCTAACTTGGTTTCTGTTGTACCAGGCCTTTTGGCTGCGGTGTTATTCTTGGAGGTTATGATAGGGATGGGCCACAGCTCTACATGATAGAACCCTCAGGAGTTTCTTACGTAAGTTGTTACTGTATTACATAGTTGTATCAACATGAGTGCATAGGCTCTTTGTGTTAGTTTTATTTGAATTATGTCTTCCATCAGTCGCCCATTCATTTTCAGTATGGATGGCATTGTTTTTAAGTAGCATTACGCTTTAGGAGTCTTGTGAATTTGAAATACATAATGTTTATTGACTTTACAAACTTGAACAGAAATATTTTGGTGCTGCATTGGGGAAGGGAAGACAGGCTGCAAAGACGTAAGCTTACAATTTATTTCGTTCTTAATGTTCTTTATGTTTCTTGTTCTTCTGTTGCCAGTGCATAAAACAGTCAAATAAACATTTTATTGCCTTATTGTAAAAGCGCGTATTGTTACAAGATATTCCTTCCAATCACAAATAAGTGACCTTGACATGGTCTTGGAATGCCAAAACACACCTTTGACAAGTACTTAAAAAAAAAGGGTGTACCCAGTGCAGAGAGCTCCCGCTCTGTGCGGGGTCTGGGAAAGGGTGTCAGTGGCAAGCCTTACCCTCGCCTGTGCAATGCGAGGAGACCGCGACTCGAACCCAAGACCTTCCGGTCACAGGCGGTAAGACTCTACCGCTTGCACCAGGCCCGCCCTTCACCTTTGATAAGTACTTTTTCTTTCAAAATAGCTATAGAACATAGCAGAAGTATACTTTTATAAAACTACATTTCGAGACAAATCTACGTATTTCATTTTCAAATACCCAAACTCCACATAAAAAGTAATATGCAACCACAGTTTAGAATGGTTGACTTAGGACAATAAAAAAATGTCACATATTTGTGACTAGAGGAAGTAGCTTGCTGAGAAGGAAAGCAAAAGAGAAGGTAGTACCCTCCAAATATCAAACCGTTCAATAGTATGAATTATTTGATTGCTAATATATTCTTTCATTGGAAGTTCAAAATGTTCAGGCTAATGTTAGCATATTGTATCAAATAGTGACTATACCATTGCATTGTTAAATAATCTTTGTGCATATGCTTCCTTTTTGTATTCATTGATTAGAGTTAACCATTAAAGCATAGGCAAGGTTTATTTATATAATGGGAGCCCACATTTTACATGCTCTCAGTTTTTATGTATATCCTCCCCTTTATTTCCAATGAAATATTGACTTCGAAAATAATCTGATGGAGGTGACTGTTGGCTTTAGCTTTTGTGTTCCATAATCTTGTTAACACGAATACTTCTGCATTTACTGTTAAGTCACCTCTGTATTTTTTTGGTTCTGTGTGAACTTCTTTAATCTTAATTATGGATGGACCTCAAAATGATTCTGAACTTTTTCAATGTTGTCATGCAGTGAGATAGAAAAGTTGAAACTTTCAGAGCTTACCTGCCGGGAAGGCATTGTTGAAGTTGCAAAGATGTATGCCTAAGTCTCTTTTCTCATAATAGTACAAGTTTGCATCTTAATGAATCTTTTTAGTTTTCCTTTTTTTCCCCTGAATGAATGTTATTATTGTCTAGTACAGTGTTGCTGGCATTCCTTTTGCTGTAGATTAATTGGCTTTAATCACTGTTCCACATTGTTCAATGCCATTCAAGAAATCTGTTGTTCATATTTATACAAAGCCTAGGAAGGGTGCAGTTATCATTGTTTAGTGATAAGGGAGCACATTCATTTTACACTAGACGTTTTTATATCAAAAGTTTGCTGGTAGGAGTGTTATTAGTAGAAAACTGCTTGTAGAAATATCATGATTACAATGTAGATTTGATAATACTGCAAACTATTGGCATAGACAGTCTTAAAAACAACTCTTGTTAGAGTAGGGGCATAGTTTACAACATCTTATGTCACGTGATACTAAGTTGTGGGTGTTTTAATTTTAACTTTGATATTTAAAGGTATTGCCAAGTTTCTTTTATATTTACCTGCTTACTTGATGCCAATGAACCTGAAAAGGCTACTTACTGCTCTTCAAAATGTACATTCTGACAAAATGTGCCCAAATGCAGAATTTATGGAGTGCATGACGAAGCAAAGGACAAAGCTTTTGAGTTGGAGTTGAGCTGGATCTGTGATGAATCAAACCGCCAGCATCAGAAGGTACTGGGATATTCACATGAAGAATGAGGGGTCTCTGTATGTTTCTCGATTTGAATTTGAAGCTGAAACTTCTTTTTTTTTTTTTTTGCCTACTTGTCATACAGGTTCCGAATGAACTGCTGGAGCAGGCCAAAGCTGCTGCTCAGGCAGCTCTTGAGGAGATGGATGCCGACTAAGAAACACGATGGTTTGCCCAGTCTTCAGTGTTTTCGGTGCTGTTGAGATCTCTGATCGGTTTTGGGGTGACCCACTTGGACATGGCCAATTTGTCAGAATTTATATTTTGATCCATGTCATGTAAAACTCCGATCATGGAAGTCTGGAATCTAGATTGACTGATATCAGAGCTGTGGTGTTTACATTCTGGTGAAGTCTTGGCGTCTTCAGGAACTTAGCTTCTGCTATACCGGTTACGCAGACTGGAGTACTGGACTGTGTGTGTTTCCGAATCGTGCATCAGACTTTTAGCTGTTCCTTGACTTTTTTATTTCAGATAAAGAACTGTTCCTTGACTTGATGCAAGTGGGTTTGGTACTTTGTGTCATATGGTTAGCAGGCGTGAAATCGTGACGTCTTTTGATAGGTCATATAGGTGTATAATCGTGATATCAAAAGAAGTATTTATCAGCCCATACGAAGAAAAGCCATGTACTATCAGCCTGTTCGGTCGGATTATACGATCGTAAACGACTGTCCGGCATGACCCCATCCCGTTTCAGGGCCGAGTTCAGGGCAGCCCCGTCCCGTTTCTCCCCATCTGCTGCCCGGCATGACCGAGCTCGGTCTCACTGGGCAGCCTGGACAAGCTACTAGACTAACGGTAACGGCCGGGTCAAGTCAAGTCTGCCTCGCTCTCTGTCTCTGAATGATGCGTTTCTCAGAAATTCTAAGGCGGGAGATCAAGACTTCAAGAGGGCACGATATGGCTTATGAACTACAGTACAAATATGAGGCACTTAATAGCGCCTATATAAGCCCATGCCTAGCTCATCACACTACATCCTCATTCTCAGTTTTCCTCACAGACACTGCACATCATCTTAGCTCCCTATCCTACTATAGCCAGCCGTGAACGTCCAAACAAACCCAGCTCTGTCTGCACAGCTCCTGCCTCGGACCAGCTAGCAATGGCGTCCCAGAGCGTTGAGAGCTACCGCGCCGGGGCAGACGTCGTCAGTGGAGACGCAGCCGCATGCAAGAAGGCCGCAGTTGAGCTGCTCGGAGAGATTGGCCTCCCGAAGGGCCTCTTCCCGCTGGACGACATGCAGGAGTTCGGCTACAACCGCGAGGCAGGGTTCATGTGGCTCGTCCGGGGCAAGAAGAAGGTGGAGCACACGTTCAAGAAGATCAAGCAGACGGTATCGTACGCCGGCGAGGTGACGGCGTTCGTGGAGAAAGGCAAGCTGAAGAGAATCGCGGGAGTGAAGACCAAGGAGCTGATGATCTGGCTCAGCGTCGTGGAGGTGTACGTTGACGAGTCATCGCCTGGCAAGGTCACCTTCAAGACGGGCACTGGACTGTCTGATTCCTTCGATGCAACTGCGTTTGAGCTTGGCATGTGAGAGCATATGGAAGCTTCATAGTTACCAAGTGATGAAAGCTGTGTGGCGTATAGTTGTTTTTTTTTTATCAAAGTTGTTTAGCGTCGTTTCCTTCTACATGATTTTCCAGACTCCATGTAACTCCTCCTTGTTTAATCATTTTCATTGTAACGAAGTGTCCTCTTTTATGAAATTCTATCAACCCATATTCAACTGAATTATTTGTAGCCAGAATTTTTTTTTTGTTTGTTTCTTCCGACCTTAGAGCATCCGCAATGTGGAGAGAACGGACCCTGGGTTTTAGATGGGCGCGACACATGATTTGACGTGAGCTCCAGTTATATTGGGTGTCGCTGTAGAACTGCAACTCTGGTCTTGTGCCTTGGTCTCTGTGGCCCTATCATTGACTTGCAGGGTCGTCGTCGTTGTTTGTGATCCTTGGTACTTTCCGATCCATGTTGGAGCTCTGTGTTGGGCCCGTGTGTGATCATTTCGTCCCTTACTAGTATGCGGTTAGTGCATATAGTACATGTCTAATAGGATCAAGCATAACAAATAAAAAGTTTAAATTCATAGCCTACTAATATTGCTTAATTGGTTGATTGATCTAGTGGTAGTATATGAGTTTGTTTATGAGCTAGTGAACCCAAGTACTTGATCTATATATTTTGGATTGCAAACAAGTACAAGTACAACCTTAATAAGATAACAACTTAATGCGTGTCAAGAAGCTTAGAAAGGGTTCAAACCAGACTTGAAAACTTATGCAAATCATTTGGTTCAAGTCAACAATAGAAGCTCGTGAGGATAATAAGAGTTCAGAAGAAGATAACAGTGCAAATGGATATCGCGTTCAACCTACAAGGTGGTATCTAGGCTAATATAATCCGTGTCATCTCAATTATATCAGTATCGGCCAGAAGAGCTTCTAATGAACCAGTACAACAAAGAAAAGCAACAACACGATGCAATTACTAAGATGATGTGGGAAAAGTTTGGACTCAAACCCAAGGAACAAATCTATGAGTATCGGCAGACATATCTCGAGTAGTTTGATAAAGGTCTCGTTGGTTTGGGACGCCATTGCAGGTGCTCTGATGGTTGGCTTTGCTTGTACGGAGCTCAGCGAATGGTGTGTTGTACTGTGCGTGGTTACCTGAGGAAGTGTGGCAGTAGTTGAGTAAATGAAATTGATGATGCTGGTTGGCGATGAACTTGTGTTGAGGAGAGGTTCTCTAGCAGAGGTTTATATAAAGAAACTGAAGATGCAGGTTGGCGATGAACTTGTGTTTAGTGGTCAGTCATAGTTCTCGTGAGTGGAAGTCAGCTTGTTCAGACTGAGCCTGGTCAATTCGTGTGGTCTTCTTGCAATGGGCTAGCAGCTAGCTGGTGACGGGCTAGGACATGAGTACCAGTTTTTCGATACTGCTGGCAGGGAGATGCATACTCGTAGTAGTTTCAGACCGTGTTGCCGAACAAGCTAGGACTCGGTGGCGAAATTTGAGCTACTCGGCGAAATTGGCCTCCCCAAGGGCCTCTTCCATATGGACGACATGCAGGAGTTCGGCTACAACCGCGAGGCAGGGTTCATGTGGCTCGTTCGGGGGAAGAAGAAAAAAACGAAGCACACGTTTAAGAAGATCAAGCAAACGGTGTCATACGCCGGCGAGGTGACGGCGTTCATGGAGAAAGGCAAGCTGAAGATCGCAGGGGTGAAGACCAAGGAGCTCATGATCTGGCTCAGCGTCGTGGAGGTGTACGTCGACGAGTCAGCTCCTGGCAAGGTGACTTTCAAGACGGGCACTGGGCTATCTGACTCCTTTGATGCAACTGCGTTTGAGCTTGGCATGTGAGCCAGACCAAACTCAAACATTGTGATATCCGCCGAAGGAGATAGTGCTGCTACAAAATTATCTTACATGTTGGTAACTGTAATCAGAATTTGAATTATATGTTTTATTTGGAATTTTCCATGCATGCCTGCAAAGTTTTGTATCATCCATTCATATTTGGCCTTGTTTAGAATTTTAGGAGACTACATAAAATTCAAATAATTTTAAGCAATGGACAAAAAAAGGTAGAGCATGCTATAAAACTGGTTTCATATTTTTTGAGTTAATACAAATTTTATATTATTTTCCTAATACTAAGTATTTTTAAATGCATATTTATTCTAGAAAATTTGAATATTTGTTAAATATTATTTCTATTTTTTGAAAGTTTAAATGGCCTTACTCGTTATCAATAGGGCACCATGTAAGCGGGTTAATGTGGCGTTACATCAATTAAAAGCCACTTTTAAACTGTTTATTAGGGAGGTAAATTGGATGATTCTAAGAGTGAGGGAGTATAAATAACTGATTTTATTATTAAGGACGGAAAATCAAAATTACCCGGGTTAGATAGACTTTTTCTTTCTTTCTTTCTTTTTTTAGAAAGATAGACTTTTTGTTTGCTTGTTTCTTTCTTCTTCTTCTTCTTCTTCTTCTAAACAGACTTTTTGTTTCCTTCTACCGCTGAACCGCTCAACGTCACCGGAGCATTAAAAAAAGGGGTTTTTATCCATACTATTACAGTTCTGCAAGTTTGAAGATACGCCATTACAATTCACCTATTTGGAGAACTGTCATTATAGTTTCAATTCTCGCTCGTGCATGTCATTTTGAACGTCTTCCATGTACATGGGTCCATTGTCAGGCACTTATTACTACGACAACGCGTATGGGCGTTAAGTTCTGGCCTCCTCCGTCCCGCTCGCGACGGAGGAGCGCTCGGCTGCCGTGGCCAGCGCGCGAGGTGGAGCAGCGGCGAGCGCCCGCAGTGGTGTGCGCGCGAGCGGAGCGGCCGCGAGTGCCCACACACCTTGAAGCGGCAGCCCTCCTCCTCCCTGGCGGCCTCGGACCTCGAAGCGCCCTGATCCGGTCTCAGGTCATCCACCACTGCACGAGATGGCCGAGGACGCCGCCTGGTGGGGTACGGGTACCTCGACGACATGTTCCCCGGCAGCCATGGCTTCGTGCACCTCACGCGGGACCAGGCGGCGCGCGCCGGCGGGCTCGTCGCCGACGCGCTTGCACGGACACACCGCATCAGAGCGTGACCTCCACGGGCTCGGCGGCAGCCTCGCAGCCCTCGAGAAGGATGGCGTAGGAGCGCATGGATTTCGGTGGTTACGCGGATGTCGGCCTTGTCAAGCTCGGCTTTTAGTTTCACATCGTCAGTGCGCTCGGGGTCCCCGCGGGGATCTGCCCCACGGTTTGTGTCGGCACCAAGGGGAGACTCATGGAGGACCAGAGCAGCGGCGCCGCGCACCATCAGTTCCGCGAACCCGTTGGGTATCTCCGACCACGGCCCAGTGGAGGCCAAACTGGGCTCTGGCCCCCCTTGTTCGAGATAACTTTGCAGTACTGGTAAGCAAGATTGAGTGAAAAGATGTTGCATCTCTGCACCAGCAAAACTGCATGAGACAAGACTGAAAGGAGCACTAGAGCACCAGCATTTCTTTACGTGAAATCTGCACCTCATCTGCGGCAGGGACTGCATGAGTGGCAGCGGCTGCACACTACTCAATGTTCAAATGCTATACTAGCTTACTCAGAAATGGCATGATTGCATGATATGTTCAATTGGTGTGATTGATGAATTTTCTAATCCTCTCTCTCGTTTTTTAGTCGTGGACCTGATATACTCAAATATGGCACTAGTTTAATATTAGCATCAAATTTTAGTTGAGACTAAATTCGTAATGGTTCTATCATTTTAAATTATATTACAAGTCTGCTACTTTCTCACTATTAAATCTGTAATGGTAATTTGGCACCCCCTTAATTTTTACTCACGTTCCGCCACTGTCTCCGACTCCTCTGATGCCGCCGATGACCCAGCGTGCCGAACGACACATACACCATCGAGTCCTCCAGCTTCGCATGGAACCACCGCAAGCATATGCCCGTGTTCGGTGAGAGCCTGATGTCGCACGTCCTTGCTAGCCTGGACGCGCGGTGCGTGGCGTCGAAGCGGGCGACACACGCGGGGTTGGTGAGCGACGCAGCAAAGCTGTAGGGCCACTAGGCCAATGTCCGACAAGGCCGAGGCCCGAGGTCGTGCACGGTCGTATTGTCCTCAACGCGCAGACAGGGGCGGGAGACAGCGGTGGAGGCTTCCCTAACCCGTACTCACCCGTACGCTGAACTGGCCGCCGGCGTCGCGCTGCCCGCCGACTCTCTACTCGTCGCGTCCATCGACTGTGCAAGCCGCGCATGCCATCGTGGCCCCCACTACTAGGATACCTCCCACGCGGGACCCCGCCGCCGCGTTGAAGAAGTCGGAGAGCCGCGCCGCGCTGTCCTCGCCGTTGGCCAGTGACCTCAACTCGAGCAGAGCCTCCGGCGGCAACCAGATAAGACGAGCGGAACGCACGTAGGCAGCCAGCGCGCGCGGGGATGGTCCTGCACGTAGCCGTAGCCGGGCACGCGCTGGCCGTGGTGGAGCGCGATGTCACGAGCGACCAGGGCACCAGCCGTGTCCTCACCAGCTCCTGGCTGTGGGACTCCTCCCCTTTGTCGCGGAGTCCCGGGCGTCGCGGCCGTGGCCTGCCTCGGCGCCGCCCACTGCGTGCTCACGGACGTCGCCGCGCTGCTGCCGGACCTCAGGGCCAACGTGGGCGCGAACAGGCTGAGCGTCGCGCGAGCCGACGTGCGGGAGCTCTGGTGGGGCGACTGGTTCCAGCTCGAGGACGATGTCTTCTATGACCCCGAGGACATGTCGGCGATGGCGGCCACGCTACGGGGGATGTGGTGGACAGACAAGGACGAGGACGGGGATGAGGAGGGCGGCGGCGGCGGCACTGGCTGATGCGTAGTAGCTGCGAAGGGGCGTGGCATCCGCGGCAATGGCGGAGCAGCGCCGACGCCGCCGAGGTGAAGCGGAGGTCCGAAGCACGGCGAGGCGTCCGCGGGCGGGCTCTGTCTGACGAAGGAGGCGCGGAGCTGACGTGCGTATGCGTTCGTGTACGCACACCAGTGGGTCCTTACATGCTTCAGGCGTACAAAATGATATGGACGAGAAAGACAAAATTATAATGACATATGTCCGAATAGATGAATTATAATGACGTTTTTCTAAACCAGAAGAATTGCGGTGCCTCCTTAAAAAAAAAAAAACCTTAAAAAAAGCCCGGCCCACGGAAGGCCCAACTATCTCTCCATCCACAATCCTCCCCGAATCGCCGTCAGTCGCCAACCTCTCTCCCCTCCAAACCCTAGCTAGCTCCCCCAATCCCCTCTCCACCGAGATCCGATCTCGCCGCCCTTACCGGCGAAACCGTCGCCGCCATGGCCTCCGGCGGCAACCCCAACCCGACCGGCGCCCCCAGCCAGCCGCGCCCACCGCATCCGCAGCAGCAGCCTCAACCGGGCGGCTCACCGGCAACGCCCATGACCCACCTCCGCCCTCCCTCCCTCGCCGGCTCCCCCTTCCAGGGCCTCTTCCACACGCCGCCCACCCACAACCCCGCCTTCCAGATCCACATGGGCGCTTCGTCCTCGCCCCAGACTCCGCTCATGGCCGCCACCGCAGGCTCGGCCAAGCGGCCCCCGCAGAAGCCCCCCGTCCGGCCCCCGGCCCCCGGCTCTACCTCGTCGGCCGCGGCAGCCTCGGCGGCTGCCGCGTACAAGGCTGCGGCCGCGGCGGCGGCCGTGGCCAACTCCGGGGGCGTCGACCTCACCCCCGCCGCGCGGCGCAACAAGAAGCGCAAGCTCCCCGAGAAGCAGCTCCCTGACCGCGTCGCCGCGCTGCTCCCAGAATCCGCGCTCTACACGCAGCTGCTCGAGTTTGAGGCCCGCGTGGACGCCGCGCTTGCGCGGAAGAAGGTAGACATCCAGGAGGCGCTCAAGACGCCGCCCTCGCTCCAGCGCACACTCCGCATCTACGTCTTCAACACCTTTGCCAACCAGGGGCCGCGCACCATCCCACCACCCAAGAATGCCGATCCGCCAACCTGGTCGCTCAAGATCATTGGTCGCGTGCTGGAGGATGGCGCCGAGCTGGATCCTGCCAGTGTTGTGCCCAAGCACAACCCAGTGTACCCCAAGTTCTCCCAATTCTTCAAGAGGGCGACGATAGCGCTGGACCCGTCTCTGTACCCAGAGAATCCGCTCATCATCTGGGAGAATGCACGAACAGCTGCCCAGCAGGAAGGGTTTGAGGTAAAGAGGAAAGGGGATAAGGAGTTTGTTGCAAACGTACGGCTGGAGATGAACTACAACCCTGAGAAGTTCAAGCTGTCACAGCCGCTTATGGAGGTGCTTGGGGTGGAGGTGGACACTCGTGCACGAGTGATTGCTGCCCTCTGGCAGTATATTAAGGCAAAGAAGCTTCAGAACCCAAATGATCCTTCCTTCTTCATGTGTGACCCTCAATTGAAGAAGGTGTTTGGGGAGGACAAGCTCAAGTTTGCAATGCTGTCACAGAAGATATCTCAGCATCTGTCTGCCCCACCACCCATCAACTTGGAGCACAAGATTAAGCTGTCAGGGAATGGAGCACATAGCAGTGCTTGCTATGATGTGCTGGTGGATGTTCCCTTCCCGCTGCAGAAAGAGATGATGGCGTTCCTTGCCAACACAGAGAAGCACAAGGACATTGAGGCCTGCGACGAGGTTATATCTGCTTCGATCAAGAAGATCCATGAGCACCGCAGGAGGAGGGCATTCTTCCTGGGTTTCAGCCAGTCCCCAGTGGAGTTCATCAATGCACTGATAGCTTCCCAGAGCAAAGATTTAAAGCTGGTCGCCGGCGAGGCAAATAGGAACATTGAGAAGGAAAGACGTGCTGACTTCTATAACCAACCATGGTATGCTCTCTAGCTGACCATTGTTTTTTTCTTACTTGAGCATTATATTATATGGATCCATGTGCTGATGAGGTCACTTTTGTGCCACAATTAACTAGGGTTGAAGATGCTGTTATAAGATACTTGAACCGCAAACCGGCTAATGAGGGCCCAGGTGGTGGTGCTGGTGGTTCTTGAGGCGTGGATTTCTCCTAGTGCTGTTTTGGTGTAGAAACAAATTATCTGTTCTGTATTGCTAGTAAAATTCAGACGTATTAGCGAAGAGATTTGTTCAGTGTTGTGAAAGGATGTTCAGGCTAGTCGTTGTATGTTGTGTTCTATATTGTCTAACTATTGTGGAAGTATAATGCCAAGTGCTGAACTGAACCATAGTGTTGCTTGGTGTGGCCCTGAAAATAGTAAGCCTAAATCACATTACAAAAAAACTGGAATGCAGGAGTATGACAGTCTAGCTTTTCTTTGATTCCTTGAGCTGGAAGAAGCTTTGAGGTGTGGTTGCCTTTTGTCAAGGACATTTTCTATCTATTCCAGGATCTTCTTATAAGCCATATTACTCTTTTCTTTAAGAACCTTTTGTTTTCAGATAGTAGTTCTATGATGACCTGGTCTACGCATTATGTTAATAAACAATCTAATTCTGATGCAACATTTCAAAGCATGACATTTACAATTACTTTTTAGATTGTGTCTGCAGTGGGCAGGATGAAGAATAATCTTTCAACATATCTGATGATACTGATGCACCTGCTAAGATTCAAACCAATAATGTTATCCAGACAACATCTGATTCCCTGCCAAACAGACCGTCCGTTGATGAAAGCAGGTACAAAATCCTCTTCATCTGGATTATATTACAGTTACTATCTTCCACTACAAGGTTTCTTTTCATGGTGTAACCTCAGTTGAACAAAAATGGTGATGCTTTCTGTTTTAGTTTGTCTTCTCTGCCTACCCTACCCTTAGTTCTTTAAAAAAAAAGTAACATTAGCACGATAAGCTTTTTTGTGTTCATATTGAACCTTTGGTTTGAATGCGACAATGCATGCATATGTACTAAAGTAGTGATACAATAACAGCGGAAGTTTTATTCCCAAGCAAGTTAGGGTAGGCTAGGGATGAAATCCAACAGAGCAGGCTAAAAAAAGCAGGGTGGTATTAGTAATATTGATAATAGTAGTATTGATTATGGTAAATCGGCCATGTATATTCTTGATTCAAGTGATTTCGGATAAAGTTTAGCTTTTCAGGGGAAGCTTTTATATTTATTTTGACCTGTAGCTAAGTTCAGTCAAGCCAACCACATACCAATTCAGGTTTAGTTTATCTGAGCTCAAGCTCTAATTTTGTTAGTGCTCTGCTCTCAAGTAATCCTAGCCCATCCATCCTGCTTGGGACTAGAAGCGAATTTGTTTTGCTCTCAATTCAAGCCAAGCTGGTTTAAGCCCTTGGCTTGTTTACACTCCTTGTTACATTCAACAGCATGATTCCTTGGTTCTTATTAATCCTCAGGTGGACCACCGGTGTTGGTCTAATCATTTGCTGCAATACATGTTCTTCATGTCCACTCTGATTTATTCAAGAGAAAATGTCCGCTCTGTTTTTTAGTCTTAGTTTTCAATTATCCTCTCTTGTGAAGTTCTATCAACTGCATCACTTCTATTACTTAACCATTACGATTCTAATGATGGTATTGATTTTGCACTAACATTGGAAATTTGGAATGTACACTCTTCTGGACTGGTCGTTCTGCATTGTTATGTAGCCTGTTGAGACAATGACAAACAACTGCACCACAGTCCCAGCCTATGCAAAACATGGACCATGTTCAAACTTGAAAGTGCATTAAAGTATGTGTTGTAATTGTAAGTGGTGTTGGGGATGGGAGCATGCGACACTCATGTAAGAAGCATTAATTAAACAGGAAATAGAAGAATGCTGGTTCATTTACGGATTATTTGGTTGGTCAAGTCAGACCTATTTCAGGCATTACCACTTGGCGCACACACCACCAACTTAGAAATATCTTTATTGTGTTTACATGCTGCTCGTCCAGAATCTTGGGTTGCTAAAATAACTTATGTAGAAGTGGAGGTGAAATCTTGCTGTTGACTTCTGCTAATTAACTTGGACTTCAGATAAATCTTGGAACTGTGGACAACACTAGTACTAGAATACATAAGTCAGCAACTTCAGGAAGTAGATTAATCCAGCAAATTACCCCATAATCATTTCCTTGAAACGCCAATTAACTCTGTTAAGCATAGTACATATCTCCTCAAATTGACCTGTTGTCGTAATGACCATTTGATAGCCTTGAAAACTCACTTCTTTCATGCTGTCAACTACTTAACTGATTACCATAATTGTGTTTCTCTTAAGTTCAAAATGTTGTCGGGCACACAACTACTATGCTCATTGTATATGTTCTCTCCCTAGCCCTGCATATCATTATGCATGGTTTCTTAAAGTTCTATTCTTCCGTTCAAAATTAGATGGTGTCCACACCGAGGATGGATCATGCAGTCGGCATCCAAGGCAAGCATAAAAACCAATGCAAGTTGGCAAAATTACTTAATCTGCACCTCAGTTATCCGTCCCTGTCGACTCTGCCGTGGTCACGTTTACTTTTCATCTGCAATAACATGAGATTTAGCCTGCGTGATTGTGTGGACGACGATATGTATGATCTCACTATCTCAGTGGTGTAACAAAGTGCCCTCACATTCTATACATGTATTTAATAAGTATATGTAACAATTTCAAAAAAAAAAGTAGATATTTTGATATCTAGCAGTTCCGTAAAAAAACAATTATTCCAGTTATTGACATTAATTTCATACCTTCACACCGGAACCAAAACAAAAACTTGCTTTTGTCATGTCGCGCAGTTGTCCTACTCGTATACTTCTATAACAACTTGGTTAATTAACCACTGATCATGTGCATAGGCGGCATCGAACACATGCAACAAACACATAAAACCATTGCAAGTTGGCAACGGCAGTCTGCGTCTGCACCTCGTTATCTCCGTTCCGTGCAGGCCTTATCTGACACTGCTTCGGTACTGATTACTGTGGCAGACTGGCAGTGTGGTGGAGTGCCGGTGCGTATCCTAACGGACTGCCAGAAATGGGAGGCTCCGACGACCACGCCCGCCGGACGCTGTCCCTGCCGTGGACGGTGCGCGTCCAGCTGGCCGCGCTCGCGCTAGCGCACCGCCGGGACGGCAGCGTCCGGCGCCTCCTCTTCTCCCTCGGCGACCTCAAGTCTGGCGCCACGTCCCGCCCGGACGCCTCGGGGGTGCGCTCCGCCGACGTCACCATCGACGCCTCCCGCGGCCTGTGGGCGCGCGTCTTCTCCCCCTCGCCCGCCGCGAACGCGGACGCCGAGCCGGCCCCCGTTCCCGTCGTCGTCTACTTCCACGGCGGTGGGTTCGTGCTCTTCTCCGCGGCGTCCTGCCCCTACGACGCCTTCTGCCACCGGCTCTGCCACGACCTCCACGCCGTCGTCGTGTCCGTCAACTATCGCCTGGCACCCGAGCACCGGTTCCCCGCGGCGTACGACGACGGCGTCGCGGCGCTCCGCTACCTCGACGCCAACGCCGACTCCCTGCCGGCGGCCCACGTCCCCGTCGACCTCTCCAGCTGCTTCCTCGCGGGCGACAGCGCGGGCGGCAACATCACGCACCACGTGTCGCAGCGCTGGGCGGCGGCGTCCGCGTCACTGCCCGCGAACCTCCGCATCGCCGGCGCTGTCCTGATCCAGCCGTTCTTCGGCGGGGAGGAGCGGACGGCGGCCGAGGTGGCGCTGGACGGGGTGTCCGCGCTGTCGGTGGCGGGGACCGACCACTACTGGAGGGAGTTCCTGCCGGAGGGCGCCACGCGGGACCACGAGGCCGCGCGCGTGTGCGGCGAGGGCATCGAGCTCGCCGACGCGTTCCCACCCGCGATGGTGGTGGTCGGCGGCTTCGACCTGCTCAAGGACTGGCAGGTCAGGTACGTGGAGGCGCTGCGCGGGAAGGGGAAGCCGGTGCGGGTGGTCGAGTACCCCGACGCTGTCCACGGCTTCCACGCGTTCCCAGAGCTCACCGACTCCGGCAAGTTCGTGGAGGAGATGAATCTGTTCGTCCAAGAGCATAGCTCCACCAACACCAAGCGTGCCGTCTAGTAGTCTATAGAATTATGGCCGGCACGGTTTCAGTGGAATTTGATGTAAAACTAGTGCAAAACTGAACCCACACTAGGTACTTCGCCGTACATTATTTTGCTGTGTTTCCGTTCACTCTCTACTTTCTCAATAAAAACGAACAATTGAGCTAGCTCTTGTCATGCCACATTTCCTGAAATATGATCCGTGTCGTACGCCGAGTGTTTCTCAGTGTTTCCATTCCATTGAGCAGACCTTCACAAGTGAAACAACTCGGCAGGCAGCATCTCGTTGCATTGCATGCGAACCTCTATACGCGCATTGCAAACGCAGGCCGCAAGCGAATCTGCAAATTGAGAGAGCAACGATCTAGGCAGCACTGGAGCGTTTCACGCTCTTCCGACACCTGTTTTTTTTTCACTGTCTTCTTCCTCCAACCCACTCGGCCAGAAGGTCCCGGTGCTGGTGCAAGCGGTAGAGTCTTAACGCATGTGACCGGAAGGTCCCGGGTTCGATTGCAGTCTCCTCGCATTGCACAGGTGAGGGTAAGGCTTGCCACTGACACCTTTCTCTAAACCCCGCTCAGAGCGGAAGCTCTCTGCACTGGGTACGCCCTTCTTCCTCCAACCGACATTCTGGCCGTCGTCATGACCATATGGGCACCCTCGCCACGACCTGACCCGGCCGCCGGAACCATAACGCCGCCCTCCCACCCTGCCTCCCCTGAACCCTGTCTAAGCCCGCCAGAGTTGGGGGGCAAAAGAGGGAGAGGCCGGAGATGGAGAAGAATGAGAGGAAAATGAATCTGAGTGTTGAGAGAGAGAGGAACACTCGAGTATCATTTAGCATTAGTCGTTGAGAAATACCGCAGCCGGCTATACATATCAAGAAGAGTTTGCATTGCATATCGCATAAGGTGTAAAGTCTGCAGAAACAGAGGTATTTTAAAGTTAAACTTCGGGTATTGATTTCACATAAAACTAACATTGTATGAACGACCGAAGGAACATCTATGAAGCAAGCAACCAAGGGACTGAAGCCCAGGAGAGTTTGCATGCAGTTCCAAATAGATATATAGTAAGAAAACAGGGCACACTTCGATTACAAGTGCTTCACAAAGATGGCGTAAATGAGACCTTGAGCTTCTTTCCATTGCAGTTCAAAATAGAGGTGGTGTGTGCGGTCGATCCTAAAACAATGCTCGACCCAATCTTATTGGGCTGGAAAAAACAGAGAATAAACTCGTGTCAAAATGTTCCAAGTCAACAGGCAACAACACCAAGCACGGCTTGAGAAAAGGTTCAGCGGGCAACGGCCTTCTGAGCATTGTGTGGGAGGATGTTGTCAGGAAGGATGAGCTCCGGTGGAATCTCGCGCACCACCCCAAGCATCGAGTCGTACTCCTCATCTTTGTGCGCGTACTTCTTCCTCAACATCTTCTCAAGCTCAATCTCGTCGAAGCTCTTGGCATTCTCGGCTGCATGGACCTGGGCTAAGTTGATATAGTTGGTTGCTGATTGGGCGATGAACGCAATCTCCTCTTCTGTAAGCTTCCTTAAGAACTTGGCAGGATTACCAACCCAAACCTGATAGTGTCAAGAAACAGAAATTTCAGCAAGAAAATCACATAAATAAGGATTCTTTCTTTTTTAAGAAAAATATGCAGACTTCAATATAGCATAAGCTTCCAAGTTCTGATCGTAACATGCCACTTGCAGAATAAACATGCCAACGACATTTTTGGGTAGTCACTCCCAATAGTAAAGATAATCATTACTGCATAGATTTACGAAATTATGTTGTAAAGTAAGGCATTCTAAGCTTCTAGCTGTAATGTTCTCTGCAAAATACATGTGCTCCAAGTTTCTAAGCCTCTAACAAAACAACATTGGACTGTACTCTTCAGAGCAGGAGCATGCAGATAACTAAAATCTTCCAAACAAATTAGTTTTGAAGCTGGTAAAAAAAGCACACACACGAACACTGGCATTGAACCTAAAAAAGCAGATAAGTCTAAGCATAGTGCCAGACACTCTTTGTTTCTAACTGCAATTGTTCCTTGCCGGAAAAAGAATGTACAATAAGGTTCTATTCCAAATATTATGATCTTAGTTCCATCTTAGTAGTATGAAGAACATTAGCTAATACTACTGTTAAATAATGAAATTCTTGCAACTAAATGCATATTGCTCATACATCAAAGTGGAAAATAGCTTGATGAGAACATAAGTAAATAACCTCTCCAGAAGGAATCCTTGTATTCTGCTTAACAAGAGATCCTCGCCAACCATGCTGTGCTTTTCAACCACCACTCCATCAAGCAGAGTGGCACCCATACCAACGAAAGCTTCATCCTCAATGGTGCATGCATGTAATACAGCACTATGGCCTGTAAGAAATACAGTTTGGCCAGTTGTATAAATTTAGTCGATCATCCAGACAAAATGAAGCTCCACATTTAGCAGCAATATACAAAAAGGTTATTTACTGACCCACTGTAACGTTGCTTCCAATTATGGTTGGGAGGACCTTCCCGCTAAAGTTAGTTTTTGCAACATGTACAAGGGAATTATCTTGTATATTAGTACCAGATCCGATATGAATGCTGTTGACATCACCTGAAGACAAGAATAAAAAGCAAGCAAAATTTTACATGCACAGAAATTGAATTCAGATAGTAAATTATCCTACATGCACAGAAACTATATTGCATTCTCGTCACATTGACTAGTGGTGATGGAGAATGTCAATCACATGATAACCCAGTCCTAGATGTATTTAACAACCTCACTCTCCGACAACGTTGCTGATGTCCATCCAAAAATGAAACTATGTGACGCTTCAATAATAAATCATTGCAAGCTGTAAATTTCGAGATTGCCTTAAATTTGTGCAGATTAGCACAGTATACTCTTCCTCAATATTTGAATGCCAATCACTACGGGTTTGAATCTTATGGCAGTTACTTTTAGGTGTACTAGCCAAAGTGATAAACAAGTATACATTGAACACCTTCTCTTGGGTGGAATATTAACTTTTCAGTAACAGATTGTGGTGATGCAACAGGGCCTAACCCTGACAAACTTGAAACTGACAGAAAAATTGATAGCTACTATAATGAATCAAGTGATTATTTCTGAGTACACTTATTTCTTAGAAATATTTGTATATTTGGAAATCTAACAGCAGTTCACCTGTATGTATGATAGTGTCCTACTGCAGACAAAGAATTACTCTGGTAGTAAACTAAATGTTTCCCACTGTTTAGTTTCATTGGTATGTCGGATATACTGTGTGCAACATAGTATTCTGCTGCACAGCTCTGTGTTAACGACCATGACCACTAAATGAAAAACACTGAAGGAAACCATCATGACTACGAGCATTGCAGCTCAAAGAACATCTATCATGTACAAAGCATACTGTTCAAGGGTTTACCTCTCAATATGGATCCATACCAGATTGATGACCCATGCCCAATCTCAACATCACCAATGACTGCTGCACTGGGAGCAACAAACACATCTCTATGGATCCTTGGCTCTTTCTCAAAAATGTTCATGATTGTACGATGCCTTGAAACTGAAAATAGCATACAAAAGGGTAACTAACCAGTCAGCAACTAATGTCTTTGCATATCACAGAAGTCATAAGTGCATGATCGGCTCTAAAATGATAAATGGAGTTAAGTGCAAAGCACTAAAAAAACCAGACACACATTCCTCATCATTGTGCCAACTGCCAAAATCACGCAAATCCCTGGTAATTCACCAGTTGTGCATTATTATGATGCTAGGGAAGAGAGAATTGCATACAAGATCACTTGAAACTGGAATGCTAGCTGGACATATTAACAGAAGATAGTACGATTGTGTTAACCAATTCCTGTTGTACATGACTTCCACAGGAAAGAATAGTGACTGCAGTGGCAACATTTCACGAATGTGTGATGGCATTGGAAACAAGCATATACCATATAAAAGGGGCATGGTAGTTTAATGTAAACAGTAAACGAAATGCTCATTTTAGCTTCATTCAGATGATCAAACCACATTACGCATATCCATAGGTAATCCATCCTTCACGAATACTATTTCAGCTTTATTCTCCCCCTTTGGGCACAGCCCCAAGTGTGAGAACAACGAAGAACACGGTCGCCACTGAATCAACCTGATCTGGCTCTAGCAGATCCTAAAAGACGAACAGCATGAACTGACCGATGGCATACAACTACCTCTGCGCCGCATCGAAATGATTAGACGAGGAGACGACCCATCCTTTGTGAGTAAAGAAAACAGCCACAGGGTGGGGTGAGGAGGCGGAGGAGAAGGGGAGAGAGACGGAGCGGGAGGAGGCGGACGCTTACCCTGCTCCTCGACGCGGAGCCCGCCCTGGATGGTGGATCCAAGGCGGTCCATGGCCTGCCCCGTGCCCCGGATCCACTTGCCCACCGTGAAGATCGCGCGCCCCAGGGTACCCATGCCTCCTCCCGCTACTGCCGCGCGCGCTTCCTCCTCCGCTTGCTCGGATGGGTAGGGGCTCGCCGCCGGCCGCCGCGCGCGCGGGTGGGGTTTAATGGCGTCAGGAGGCGAGACGGGGGAAGAGAGAGAAGAGGATGCAGGAGGGGCGAGGCGATGGCTGCCTGCGGCCGAGGCAGTGGCCACTGGACTGTAGGGGACAGGAGGCCGGGCGGTTGATGGACCTGGGCCCTGAAATGTTGGCTGCTTTGTTTGCTGTACAGTTCCACGATTTAACTAAAGGGCCTACATAATGGCCCAAATAGTTCAAGAAGGAAATGGATACAACTATGGGAAAATTTCATTTTACATCGATGAACCAGTGCCACGTTCTGAATTTTCTCATCGAACTTCAAAATTGGATATGCTGCCGCTCTCAACTCTTAAAATTATTTAAATTAAGTCCCTATCAAGTTAGAAGTGGTCTTTAAGGAATTTTTATATAATTAAAAAACCCCAACAAATACCTGATAAGGTTCTTAAAACCATGAAAGATGCCTCTAA